GCTCAAGATACCACCAGTGTCTGAGTTCACTCCCTGTTGCCTTTGGATCAAGATGTAGAATTGTTTAGAATTTGTTTAGCTGGGAATCTCCACCTCAGCCCACTTCTTCCTCTCCAAATCCTGCCCCCCATAAAGTGGCAGCTCCTCCCCCAAAGCTCCTCAAGAGCATGCCTACAGGGTATTTAAGCTCTGGTCCATAGACTTGCCACGTGATTTCTCTTCTTCCCTCAAGATCACCAGGGAATGCTTTACTCAGATTAAACCTGATCTTATTAATTTGGCTTGATTTGGCTTATTGCATAGGTGGACCCACAACTGGGGATACAAAATACTTATCAGCATTCTCCAGCACTGTGTCTGCCTCCACATTGCCATACTCTCAGCTGCCATACTCCTGGCCATGATGATAATGAACTAAACCTATGAAAATGTAAGCCATCCTAATTAAATGTTTTCCTTTATAAGGGTTGCCATGGTCATGGTGTCTCTTCACAGCAATAGAAATCCTAAAACAGAGATGAAAAGGTTGATTGGGCATTTTAGGGCTAGAATAAAAGCTCTTTCTCTGCCATGGGTGCATATTTCCTGGAGGATGGCAGTAATGCCACTTAGCTTGGGAGTGGCAGTATAAACCCTCCCTGATTATCCCTATTACAGGGAGTGATTTCCATTTAGCTGTATGAGATCAAATCCATTTGTTCCCTCCAAAGATTAGGCCCTCTATTGTTCCTAATCTGCTAAGAAAATAAAGGGCGGGTATTGGCGACTGAGGGAGTTGGCTATGCCAATAGTGGCCAGGATGTCCTCTTGAATCTACCAGGTTGTTTGGGGGCACCAGACAATCACAGTCATCCTCCATCAAGATGTTCAATTAGTTATATGGACCTTAAGCAATGTTCTTCAAACCCCAGTGGGGAGGGGTCTATCCTGGGTTATCTGCTGCCAATGTTACAGGGGGCTTGGGATGGAGGGTGTTGGGCTAGACTACTATTAAATTGGTTTTATGGGAAGGACAAAGAATTTTATCTCCTAAAGAAGACCTGTCTAGTGAGTCTTTCTGTGTCTCACCAGGCAGCTCCCAAATAACAGCATGGAAACTTCTTATTAATTACAAAAGCTCAGCCTTAGCTTGGGCTTGTTTTAGCTCTTATAACTTAAATGAATCCGTTTCTTAATCTACATTCTGTCATGTACCACCCATCTTGCTTCCTCCGCGTTTCCTTGAGTCTGTCTAGAGTGCCTCCTCCTCCTCCTTCCTCTCTCTGCCTGGAAGTCCTGCTTATGCCTCCTGCCCAGCTATTGGCCATTCTGCTCTTCATTACAATCACAGCAATGCACCTTCACACAGTGTGTGAGTATCCCTCAACAGACCCACAGAGAGAAAGCGAATGCCACTGGGAAGCGAAAGGACACTGAAAAAGAAGAGGACAGCGGATGCAGGGCATGCAGGAATGGCTGTCCTTCAGAGTGAAGTGACAGTTGGCGATCAAGATGGCCTAAGATGCAAAGAAGGCAAAAGCAGTCATTGCCTCAAAGTGACATTTAGAGATACGCAGAAGAAGGACCAGCCACACACAGAGCAACAAAGAACAGAATGACACACTTTGTTCTCACTAAGGAACTGGGGAGGCTTCCAGGGCTGGCAATCTGCCAGGGGCTCTGCATTGGATGGCCTGTGGGCTTCCAAGTCCTTCCCCCTTCCAGATTTCTGCCCTCCTTTTCTCCCTGATTGGTCCTGCCAAGGGTATCCAGCTGAGCAGTAAGTAGTTTGTAACAGTTGTGGGGGAGCATGGCAGGGGTGGGGGGTGAGGAAGACAAGCCTGGAACCCAAGAGATGCCCCCTTAAAGGGTCCCAGGCCACTTATCCCATTCAGTTGGAGGCTAGAGATGTGTCAAGTTCAGAGACATAGTCCATCAGATCAGCTATTGAAGTAGATGCTATTGAGGCCGTTAGTAGCCAGAGGTTATGGCTCTTGACTTACAACTCTGTAGGCTATTATGAGAGCCAAGATGAGGCAGTGTGCAGCATCTTTGATACAACTGTGGCTTCCTCAACTTAGTTCTTTGCCTTTTGTATTTCCTTTTGTCTCCCATTGACTTCTAGATTAAAATCTGCTGCATGTAGGATTTTCTATCTCCAAGTGTCAATGGGATTTCAGGAGGTGTGGGGGAGCATGTGTACAATGTCCCAGTGTGAGGTGGGGCTTGGCTGTGTCTTCTCTTTGAAGCTTGACTTCCCTTGACCTGTTTCTAGTCTCAGCTGTGGTGAGCTCTGTATGCAGACAACCTGAGGATATCCATGTCACTGTGAAATCTCTAGCCACACAGTCTGACCAGTGACTCCATCTTACCTGAAGGTGACAAGTAACTTAAAATGAGCACTCTGAAGATACCTTTAGTTTTGTGGCCATTTCCTCCTAATTAAAGCATCCCTTCCAGGAGGGAGGAGAGAGACAGAGAGACTCAGGAAGTAGAAGATTTCACATAACTGGGGAAGTGGAAACAATCATAAGGGCCCTCCCCAAGGTTATGGAAACAGTAAACCATCATCACTGAGAAGGGAGCTTGTGGACCAGCCTGCCGGGGAGAGACTCTCCTTTGGCCAGCTTCAAGGAGACTCTGAACTGTCAAACTGACTTCAAATCACACACAAAGTTCTAGGGATGCAGTTTTTGTGAGTTGTTACCCAAGCTGAGACGGGCTTTTGAGTGATGCAGCTGCCTTAAAGCTACTGATGTTCCTGTAAATAACCCCTCACCCATACTCCTGTGAGTAACCCCTCACCCATACTCCTGTGAGTAACCCCTCACCCATACTCCTGTGAGTAACCCCTCACCCATACTCCTGTGAGTAACCCCTCACTCATACTCCTGTGAGTAACCCCTCACTCATACTCCTGTGAGTAACCCCTCACCCATACTCTTGTGAGTAACCTCTCACCCATACTCCTGTGAGTAACCCCTCATCCATACTCCTGTGAGTAACCCCTCACCCATACTCCTGAGAGTAACCTCTCACCCATACTCCTGAGAGTAACCCCAATAAACTCATTAGTTTATCCGTGTTACACTTGGGTAGATTTGCTGTTTGGGGTATTGTTGGTTATCTATAGTGAATAGTTGTCTGTCTCTCTGATGTACTGTCAATGAGTGAGGCTCCAGAACTTCTTAGTCTTGATGTTTTTCTCCCAGGCTCACTTTGAGACATGAGGTACAGCCGTCCTGTGATCTGGGAATTCCACACTTAGCTGGGCATCCCCTGACATAACCCCATGTTATTGGAAATAATCATCTCTAAACTAGAGATTTGGATTTTTATTTTCTCACATACTTTCTATTTTGTACCTCTTTTTCCCTTTTATAATCAGCAAATACTAGTTTTATACATCCATTAAGTGAAAGTTGAGAATTCTTTAGAATGATTATTGAAATATAAGCAAGAGTAATGAGATTATGTTACTTTATAAATGACAGTGAGAGAATTCCCTACTTGGAAAAAAGATTAATTAGGATCTAGATCTCACATGATAAACTGAAATAAATTCCAGCTTCTGAAGATCTAGCCCAAGAAAAATGTTTCAATGCTTTGTTTACAATGGTTTACCTTGAAATATATTCCAGTAGAAACTAACTGGAAACCAACTATAGACCTAAGTATAGTGAAAATAAATTCCATAAAATTGAACCTCCAAGAACCATTAAAATGTTTGGTGTACAATGACAATCAATGTTGGAGAGGATGTGGAGCAAAGGGAACACTCCTCCATTGTTGGTGGGAATGTAAACTTGTACAGCCACTGTGGAAATCAGTATGGCGGTTTCTCAGAAAATTAGGAATCGAACTACCTCAAGACCCAGCCATCCCACTCTTGGGCATAT